TGCATCATCGAAGTGCATAGAAATGTTTATTGTCAATTACTCTAAAGCAATCGATATCCAACAATAATCACTTTTTGAGTTTTTTTTTTAAATACTCTTCCGAAAAAATGCATTATCGAGTTTCTTTTAAATAAAAAAACCTTGAACCAATGTGAAAGAAGAAAAAACTGTTTTTAGCAGTGCACACTTATCACCCTGTAATTCTTTTACTAAACATTTTCAGGCCCATGCTAGTAGAAATACGAAATATATACAAAAGTATATACAATATGTTTTAAACAATAAAACAATTTTTTTCATAACTTCGTCTTCTTTGTGCTCACAATGACTACTACTATATACTTCAACCAAAATATTTCGGTGATTATTGAGATTTATGTTGTAAAAATTTCTACTTCCTGTAAGTTTCTTTTGTATGATCTCTTTAAATAAAATAATGACGTGTTCGTCACTTTTCAGTTATAATGGAAGTTGACACAAATTTCTGTTTGAAATGAAATGGCATATTTCCTATTTTTTGTGCTTGGCAAATCTTTATTCAAAAGTGATTTTAGAGACATCAAAACTCAATTCTTTGCTTTGACTTCATTTGATAAGATTAACTAAAAATCTAATGGGTGGTCAAAACTCTTTTTCATCCTTTTTAAATTTTGGTGTCGATGGTAAATGAAAGTTTCATGTGTATTACATTATTCCAGCTAATGAGTTCACATGAATGCTTAAAAAAAATTAGATATATCCCTCGAGCACTTTACAAAATTATTTTTTTATATTTCCACGTACCCTCTTTTTTAAATGGAAAAATAATTGAATTAATGAGTATGCCAGGGAAATGTTGTGACATTTTGTCACCTGTATTTTTTACTCGTTCTTGTAACTGCTACAACAGAATGCTTTCGGAATTAATACACTGGGGGCATGTTATACCCTGACAAAGGTAATTTACGACTGTACTATAAATTCCAAGAGATATACAGGCAGAGGGTGATCTTTAATAGCAACTGGGTGTAGGGCAGGTATATATTCTTGTTTAATTCATGAATATCAAGTGGAAATAAATAATAACAGTTTTGTTTCGAGATGAAGTAGACTTTCAAATTATTAATAAGTAAATAGTTCATTTAGGCTGATATTTACGTGACCAATAAATTATTTTAAAATAATATTTCTATAAATGTAGGTCTAATTACATAATGCAAGATTATTTTGTTGAATGAATTTATATAGGTATTCCGGGATTTACAAGTGTTAGTTTAATGTAAATACAGTATTTAATTTTTGTCAACTATATTTCCATAATATGATAGGTACGTAATTTCCATAATAAATTGTCATTTAGGATCGTATTTAAAATAGATAAATTAATAACAATTTTTAGGTCATTTATTGTAAAATAATGTTCGGTAACTTTGATCAAACTGTTGAGAAAACAGTTTTTTTTCTGTAAACTCCACAAGGATCAGCCAAGTACAAGGTCAAGTACTTTACAAGTAAGATACGGAGTTCCTCAGGGTTCGGTCTTAGGTGCTTTACTGTTTTTAATGTTTATAAATGATTTACCAATATCCTTGATGAAAAGTGGTTTCCGCATTTGATTGTATGTCTTCTGAATTTGTAAGTTTTCTGAAAAATGCAGGCCGTAGATTGTGAAACTGAATGTAAGTCAATTGTATCATCTATATCATGTGAGATGAATAGGTCTTCTGCATTACAGCAAGTTTTGTTCTTGCCTGCAGTGTTTTAGAAGATGTGCTTCGTTTTCTCTTTTTATTGTAGCTCCAAACCTCTTATTCTTCATTATATTGCTCCTCATTCCCCATCTATTGGGTCTGGATCATATTTTTTATCAGCAATGCATCGCTGTCATAATCAGCATCCATTTCATATATCACTAAAATAATTGAAGTTGAGAATTTGTTCTAAATCTTCATCAGTAAGGATCTTTTTCGAATTTAAAATACTTTATGCAGTCATCTTATGCTAAAAATTTGGAAGAAATAATCAAAAACGAAAATATCACTTCATCAGTAATGCTTACCTTACTGCCAACTATACGTCAAAAATACGTAAAATTGGTTGACGTAAAATGCCAGCTACACGTAAAATATACGCGCGAAAACGTGAACTATCTACTACCACCTACAAACCATAATTGAGACTCTAATGGCACAAGTAAGATTAGGAGGCACTAATGGTGGGGCACCTTGGAGCACACAAGCCTATTATAGATGTTTAATATCAAGTTTAAATAAAATAGTACGTAACAATTTTACGTAAAAGGATGTTTTATTGAAACATGCGTCCGAAAATGTTCTGTTTCCGATGTATCTACGCGGCACAGAATTATTTTGCGTATATAATATACACATACAGGGCTGGAAAATCCACATGGTGCATCTGTCTTTACATGAGAGCGACAAAGTAAAGTAAAAAAATCCGTGCGATAGACAAGGATGGCTATAGTGAAGACGTTTCATAATCTGAATAGTCACCGCCCGTTTCGGGTTAGAACTATTTAGATTATGAAACGTCTTCAATGTAACCATCCTTGTCTATCGCACGCATTTCTATGACTTACTTCATCGCTCTCACGTAACGGCCGATGTATCATGGGGACTTTCCGAACCTGTATAAATGCAGTTTACTGAAGTTCAAATTAAAATAAGCATGACTTTCTTGACAGGTGCATGGCAAGTGTTCTATCGTTTTCTAACTCTCTAAATACAATCAGCACTCATCCTCTTCCGCCAAGATCAACTTATGTAGGTAATATCTTAACTGGAAGTGCCCAGTAAATAGGACAAATAGAAATCGCTGTTTAACTCCAGAAAGTTTTTAGCTTTCGCTGTGTCTGTTAGAAACACCGTCGATTGGGACAATATTCGCAATTTTTGCCATTATTAAAATGATTTTTCTCCCACCCAAGTTGGTACGGTTGTTTTAATAGTACAACTCGACTATCTTGTCTGCGAGATATGCAGACCTTGAAGAAAATCCGCAGTAAACCTGACAGCATAAAAGACCTTAACACTAGGGTAGGTACCTTATGGCGTTCACGGCACAAGATTGTGTGCCAGAACATTCGTGCGAGACGTTCATAAGTCACCCACCTCTACTGCAAACAAGCAAATCATCATGTAAGGTAATAAACAAGATTGTGTTACTTGTCAAAATATTTTTTGTATATGTGCCACCTCCCGCCAGTGTGCACATTCAGCACAGCCACAGCTCCGAAGAGCAAGAGGCGAGCGTTTACTTGAACAATTGTCATAGCATCTTGCACCCGTCGTTCAAATGAACGAATCACATTGAACTGCACACTTAAATAAGTTGTGCCGTACATGACAGCACATCCAAAATAAACGGGCGACCCACCTCTAACAGAGAATGAGGTCCGGTGTTTTCCGTAGCGTTGCCACACCGCATTTGAAACACGTGGGCAAGATGACTTTGTTCAAGCTTGTAGACCAAAGCTTCACCAAGAGCTGATTCTAGTCCAATGAAGATGGAATCAGCACTGTTCCTTACTAGGGACGCTGCCGCCTCATTTCCCTGGAGATTTAAATGACCAGCAGTGATATTCTGTAAAAATAATTTAAAATTGAAAGAGTTTAGCCTATTTGTGTAAGACCATTAAATTATAAACCATATAGACTAATGGTATTCTACAAACAATTGATTAAGATAGTCTAAGACCAAATGCATTCCATTCAGTTCAATATTTTATATTTTATTTTTATTTATGTTTAAAATGTCCACTGAGGCCCTCTAACCTAGCACTTTTACAGTACATTTTTCTGTGTTGAAATCATTAATTTAAAATTTACACAAGAACTTTTAACTTTGGGTATAGGGAACTGTATCATTTTAAAGTAAATTTAATTATGCATCCATTATTGTAATAATATACAGGGTGTACCATTTGAAATATTTGAGTAAATTCAACTTTAACGTCACAATGTTGGTCACACGTTCTTAAACACTGTGTATGAATTTTTGCAAATTTGACTTAAACTGGTTGAATCCCATTGATTTTGAATTATCCATCCAAATTTCATTAAAAAATAAAGCTAACTGTCGGATTTATTCTGTTTTCAAAAATCACTTGCATCCCTCAATTTATTTCGAATATTGATAATAACTTAAAAACAGTAACATTTTATGAAATTAGTCTAGATTTTACCGTAGAATTAAAAAATGCAAAAATATACCTACAGTGTTCCATTTGAAATAACAGAGTTGATGATGACTAAGTGCAAGAAAGTTGACACTATTTTCTTGAATAGATATTTTTGATAAACCCCTGTATAAAAATTTTCAGATTTCAATTTTGACTACTTTTTGAGATAATCCTACTGGGCCCTCTTCGTGATACACCTTGTAGAAAGCAGCACACGGTGTTAATAGTGGTCTTCACACATTCGAATTGAATAATTTTCTTTCATCATATGCTATTATTTAGCATCCCCTGAGCGAACCAACTGAACAACATTTGCATATTGAATAGTTCAAAGGATGCACTGTTTTTATAACTTTGGAGAATATTAGGCAAGTAACGACATGCTTTCGAATGTATCGATGTACACCACCTAACGATATCTCATTAAAGTTTGTAAACGTTTGGCAAGTAACCGATCAACTGGAGTGGATTTCCTGAGAAACAGATAGATAACTGACGTTAAAAATACTGAAATATGGGGTGTCCTAAAATCTTATACACACAAAAATAAGTCAACTGGTTAATAGCTTAAATTTGAAAGGAAAACTAATTTCCGAAACGTAAACAATGAAATTCTCGGTGTAAGTCATTTTCAATTCGGAATAGAAATATTTATTTAAAATGTTTACATTTCTTTCCTTTTTAATTAGACAAAAACGCAATTACAAATAAACATTGAGGCTCTGAAACTGTGGAAACAAATGTCTGTACTCTTACCAAACTAAAAATATTTTTAATAAAAATATATTCTGGCATTCACTGAAACTCGCTTTTTTTTCAGAGCACTGGAATGACGGAAATAAAAGGCGACATCCCGGAGATAATTCGACTTCAGCTGAGAAAACCGACGAGCTGGGGATGGGAACTGTCGACGTTCAAACCGTCTCGTAGCGTCACTCTACCTACGATTCAGCTTTACAATTACAAGGGCCAGCTGTTGGTGGAAGCCAAAGATAATGGCGAGACGGAGAGAAGTTGGCGAAGTTCAACAATGCCGAATAAAGGATCGGCCGCAAACGCCGAGAAGGAATCAGGAGCTCTGGGAACAAGACACTTAAAGAGATCCAGGAGCGACACGCTGGGCCACAACTCTAGTGCCGACATTTCCAGAAATAAGTTTGAGTCAATAAATCGAAAAGACAGGAACAGGCAACCGAATAATAAGATTAAAAGCTTCGACGCGAGTTTGGACAATTCAGCGACAAAGGCAACCGCAGATATCGCCAAGGAAAATAGAGGCTCTGAAAGCAAAGCTACAAAAGTAATTACGGAGATTGAGCGCGGAACGGAAAACTCCCACAGTAGTTTGAAGAAGTCTAAGAGCGATGCATCCGAGCAAAAAGGTAAAGGAAAACAAATTTTTACCTAAATAAACATTGATTTAGTAGTGAAAAAGTCAAAAATAAATCATGCAGAAAATAAAGCAAATTTAAACTAAATTAATAGAATAAAAGTATACCACGTTGCACATAATCTTCGAATTGATATAAATACATACAGAATGTCTCGGTTATAATTCAAAAAATTAGAGGTTAAATTCCTCTTGGAAAAATAGTGAAGGAAGTTCTTATAACGTTTCCTCATGTTGCGTTTTCGAGATACAGAGTGTTAACGTTGTTATTTTGAAAGAGGTTTTTCTTAGTTATCTTTAAAACGGCTAAATATAAAAATTTCAAAACTTGAATAAATACCAACTCTGTCTTAAGAAAACCGTGCAAAACGTTTTATTTACAATAGCAGTGGCGTGGATACGGTTGATTAAGGTTTCCTAAGAAACCTTTCATAAATTAAATTGCTCCTGTATTTTACAACAATAAACAATATTTTCAAGACTAAATTAAAAATAATACAGAAAGCAAAGAATATTAAATATATAAATAAATAAAATAGGTACAAAGGAAAATAAATAATTAACAAATGAAATGAAATTGCTTTCCATTTTCTTCTGTGCAAAACTCCAAAGTCGTGTCCAATGAGATTTGACACTTCCACAATCCGTGCTCATAGTTCCTAGTGAGTTTTTACTGATGTACATAAACTTCGCCTTTCATAAATCTCCAATAATAAAAATCTAAAAAATTCAGATCAGGTGACCTGGCAGGCCAATTTACAGTTGCATCTTACCCATGTGCGATCCATCGATCCGTCCAGTAAACTGGCTATTAAGAAATATTTGAAGTACAGTATGAGTATAATTTGGTAGTGCACCATCATGAATAAAACGTGGATCTCTTCCAATATCCCATAGTTCATCTTCTAATAGATCTGACAATATAATTTAAATGTGGCGACAGCTCAATAGGTCCTAATAAATGATCACCGATAATTCTAGATCATGGTTAGAGTGCCCGTAGGCAAAACTTTTATTGATACATACTCTCTCCAAACTTCTTATATAGCTTCATTAGGCCTAGTTTGACACCCTTTTCCTCTGCGACTTTTTTCGATTTTGGGACGTTTTCCCTCTAATTTTTCCGAAACATGTCGTTTTGACGACATATGAAAAATTTATAGATACTGCTTTTTTTAATTGAATAGCTTAAAAACTTCAAATGAAACGTGAAAATAAAATTCTCTGACAATAGATATGAGCCGTTCAAAACGTCTGCAACCTCGAACATGTCAAAAAAACTACTATAAAAAAATTATTAATAACCAGCTGATTTCCTCAAAATCCTGTCTAAGAACTGCAAAAACAACTTTTCATATTGTCTGACGAAAATTATTTTCAGATTTTCCAGCCTGACGCGTCAAAGTTGTCGATTTCATGACTACAAAAAATTTATTAATAACAATTTTTTTCAACGTATTTTAGTTTTTAAATTGAATTTAGAATGTAATAAAAAAATGTCTGATTGTCTGATTGTCTGACAGAGCCCTTTAGCCTTTTTAATTTAGTTTTCTAGCTACGCTTGGACCTTGCGTTCGCAAGTATAAATTGAGATCATATTTATTAATAACCAGCTGATTTTTCACCATAGCTCACTTAAAATAAAGGGAATACAATTTTTAATTGTCTGATAAAATGTATTTTCTAATTTTTCAGTCTGATGCAAGAAATACAATTTTTTAATGTTTGTAACCCACCCTCATAATTTCATAATTATTTCATATTAATCCTTGAAGAATAAATTTTATTACTTCAGAAATCATTGATGAATCATTTTTATTTAATATATTATTCATTCAAATCCAAAGAGAAATTTTCCCCTTTAACTGAACTATTTTGGTGGAATTTTGCACAAATTGAGCTAAAAATTGTTTTAAATTTACATTGCAATATTACGAAGGGCACGATATAACCATTTTATGAAAATTTTAATAAAAGCTATGGTAAAGTCTTTTCTTCATTTTAACCTAAAATTGCGGCCTTTTTTCATTTTTAGGTCCTCATGAAAAAAATATCGTTCGATACAAATGTTTGGGACATATTTTCGGGACAAGTGTGATTGCCAACTTGCACACTCATCCCACAAACATCTTTTGAAAAATACTATTAGAATGTTTCAAATTTTGTATCAAAAATTTCAGCTTAAAATTTTCCCGGAATTTCCCGGAAAATTTTATTGGAAAATTTCGGAAATGCGCCTGATTCATAAGGCTTTAAGTAGTACACAAATAAGTTTTCAGCTCAATGCTAGCAAAATTGACGTAAAAAAAATTGATTAAAAATTTTTTGATCCTAGCAATCCTTAAGAAACAATCTATTAAATTTTCAGATCTTGATTCCGAAACTGAGGAAGAAGACAATTATAACAGTAATGAAACAGATGAAGAAAGTACGGATGATGATGAAAGCGATGACGAAAATTAAGCAAAATTATTTTTTCTATATTTTTTTTGATTTTTTAAACTAATATTTTATTTAACGAATATGATGGTACAGTGGGTACATACAAGGTCTTATACTCAAAAATCTTAACATAAGTACAGTGAGAGTTGTTTAGCCGTCAACGTCAACTAATAATATATAGGAATAAAACAAAATACTAGAATAGTAAATAGTACTCTCTCTACAATTTTATATTTTTTTGTCAATTTTTCATCAGACTCTAGTTACGCCCCAATATATTTGTTAGAGATGTGTACCACTTACTAAGTACTGCTTTTCTGCATATAATTTTTCAATGTCTGACGGTTATTAATAATTTTTTTGTTGCTATGAAATCGACAACTTTGACGCGTCAGACTGAAAAATCGGAAAATAATTTTCGTCAGACATTATGAAAAGTTGTTTTTGCAGTTCTTAAAGATAGGATCTTGAGAAAATCAGCTGGTTATTGACACATTTTTTATAGTAGTTTTCCATGTTCGAGGTTGCAGACATTTTGAACGGCTCATATCTTTTGTCAGAGTATTTTATTTTCACGTTTCATTTGAAGTTTTTAAGCTATTCAATTAAAAAAAAAACAGTATCTATAAATTTTTCATATGTCGTCAAAACGACGTGTTTCGGAAAAAAACCTTTAGGATGCTTAATAAATTTTTACTTTTAACATAGTTTTCCTTCACTTATATCTTTCATACTACTACTTTCACGTCACTACTATTGGGAACGAAATGAAAACTTATATGAACTAGTCTCACTATTTATCTAAAA